TTTTCTCAGCGACGTTGACTCACGACCTTATGTGCTGTGTAATTATTTAGATGGAACCCGCCATTGCAACAGCCGCCAATGCTGGAGAGACCAACATCATGGAAACATAAGTCATTGTAAGTGGTCTTTCGCCTGGAAGTGAGGCCAACGAAACGACAGTTCTTCTTCTTCCAGCGGCGGGGGCACAGCAACTGCTGCATGTGAAGAGGTGTTCGCCACAATTCATATGGAAATTGAGCAAATGCTTGCTGACGTGGATGACAATGATAGTGGTGCACAAGGGAACAACGTTGAGATAAAGAAGGTTGGTGGAGAGAGAAACGAGGAAGATGTTGGCAGCGAGGGTCCTCACAGTGGATGCATTGTCACAGATGCAAATGTGACAAAGACAATGACAGGAGATAGATACCCGTACGATGTGAATTGGGTGCCAGGTCGTGTTCAGCCAGGTATCGTTGGAGGTGTGCATTGCTTTGCTTTCAAGGTTGCTGATCAGTGGGTTGTTGTTCCCGCCCCAAAGAAAGAGACATGGCGTAACGTATGTCTGTCATTTATCTATGACAGAGTGTTGAGGCTGAATGATGGGGCACCGACGCACGATGCTTGCCGATACGCAATGGAGATGTACTGTGTTCTACAGGCAAAGGGTGAGTTGCAGCTAAACGATTTCCTATATGACAACTTTGACTGCGGACAGCAGTGGGTGTTGGGTGGCCAGCAACTCAGGGGGGGGACGCCAGCCAGCCAGGACGACGTAAGAAGGGATCCTCGGTGGGGTTGGGTGCCATCTGCAATCCCATTTGGATACGGCCGTTAAGATGCAAATGCGTGATATGAAGGGCAATGTGTGGAGCGCGCATTACGTGAACGGCATGTTTTCCTTCCGTCATTTGGACAGAGAAGCGATTGCAGACGAAAAGGAGGCGGTGACATTCCGGCCACGCGATGCACACATCTTCGACCCGCCACTTGGCAATCCTGTCGAGTTGGCCCTGGCTGAAGGAACGGTGTTTGGTGGTGAGAAGAGTATCACATATGTCCACGTAAGGGGGAAAGAAGCCACATTTGATGGCATCTGTATGGACGTATGGGACCATGTGGCAATAAGGAAGGATGTGGTTGCAGCCAGTAACATTGCGGCCCATGTGATTCAAGAAGGGCAGTTGTACCAGCATGTGGGTCGTGACATGTACGGGTACCATGTGAATTGGGTACCTGGTTCTTTGCATCCAGCAGTTGTTGATGCAAAGTGACACTTGCAGCAAGAATGCAATCTGGTAAGTGGCTGCCTTTGGGTTGGATGCATGCTGGCGTTGTGGAGCATTGGCAGTTATTGGTGGTGGTGACACGTGTCTCCGTTTGCAATCCTCATGTGAAGGACCAGGGATTGCTGGAGGAACACGCGCAGCGTTGCTGGGAGAAGATAAGGGAGGAAGAACAGCCGATGGTGTGCATGGGATATGACTCCCATAATGACCAGGCGATGTGGTCGATCGTGGAAGACTTGTGCACTGAGCAAGCGCGGCCCTCGACAGATATAATGTTTCTGGAGGCCGTTCGATGCAGACATGGGTGCACATCACTTCTTGGGTGGGTCCCTATCGTCTGTCCCATGACATATGACCATGGTGAATAGATGTGCATGAGATTCAGAGACCCTCTGGGTGTCCCTTTCCAACTCACCTACATAGACGGACTGCTGCGGCACATTCAATACGTGGGTGATGACGACGCTCGTGCTGCATCGAATGGACAACCAACAACAGAGCAGCAGCAGGACATTTCACATTTGCCAAGTCTGGTCGATGGCCCGGAAACAGCAAATGATGGGGGATGTTCTAATGCAGAACCCGACGATGGTGACACCACTGCGGAGCACGTGACAGGGAGGGCAGAGAAGAAGAAGAAGCAGTGCACATCTAGGCCGCCTCGTGGACCTGGGAGTTCAACAAAAGCAAAAGGCAAACAAAAAGATGTCTCAAATCAAGGCCAGACTTCCAAAGCAGCTGCTGCCCCGGTTCAAAAGCGCAGGCGCCGCGCAGGGATGGCAACATTGGCAGAAATTCGACAACTTTAGCGATCTACTCACTTGTGCATCGCTTTGAGGCCGTTCATGAGGGTCGTGCGCGAGATTGTTGAGAAAGAAATCACACCAGAACAATCTATCAGGTTTCAGATGAACGCCATACGTGCATTGCTAGAAGCGGCCGAAGCATATCTCATCAACCATTTCGAGAGAACAAACATCATTGCTATCCACTGCAAGAGGGTGACGATCCTGCTGAAGGACCTGAGGCTGGTTGATAACTTGGCCAAGGCTCGCTGAGAATACAAATATGAAGGCATTATCGATGAGCAGAAGAGAGCGGAAAAGCTACGACAGATGAATGCTGCAAGGAAGGTCAACAGGGAAACGCAGGCGGGGAGGGGGGTGTCTGAGAAGACAGCAGCAGCACGCAAAGGCGGTGACACTCCAGCGGGGTCGTCGTAGAGGAAAGGAGCACCGCGCAAAGGCAATCCATCAAAGAAAAGCATGGCATGCAAATAAGAACACAGTGAAGACTGCGTTGAGACCAGTTCGCACACACACACATATAATGTGTATGAGTGTGTAAGTGCGGTGTTGACTCAATACTCAGCGACGCTATGTGCTCACTGCTGTGTGCTGTGTGCTGTGTAATGTAGTGTGTTGTGTGCTGTGTAGTGTGCTGTGTGCTGTGTTGTGTAGTGTGCTGTGTTGTGTGCTGTGTAGTGTGTTGTGTAGTGTGTTGTGTAGTGTGTGTGTGTGTGCTGTGTAGTGTGTGTGTGTGCTGTGTGTGTGTTGTGAGCTATGTGTGTGAGTGTGGGTGTTGTGTGCTGTGTGGTGTGTGTGTGCTGTGTGCTGAGTGTAATGTGCGTGTGTTGTGTGTGTGCTGTGTGCTGTGTGTGTGTGATGTGTGCTGTACAGTAACCCGTAGGGTTAGATTCGTAACTTTATTTGGCTGAGGGCTAACCGCCAACCTGCCTGTGAGGAAATTCGTGAGGCACAGATCTGTATATTCGGGAAAATACAGGCCAGGTACTAACCGAATTCGTACAGCTACCCTGACTGCCTATAGCAGACCCGGGCTACCCCTACGACAGACAGGCCCTACATGGCCTATTCTGCTAGACGGTCCTATAGCCTATAGCCGGGTCCGGTAGAGGCCGAGAGGCCGAAGCAGCAACGGTACCGGTCGGTCAGTCAGTCCGGTCTAGGTGTAGAGAGTAGATAGATAGGATAGGCCCACCGGGTGAGCACTTTTGGCCGGGCTGGACCAAGGCTCTACAGTGGTGGTTCGTTGGGTGGTGGCAGCCATAGCTGCCTGTTCCTTCGTCAGAGTTGTCCATCAGCACTAAAGACTTCATCGCAGGACCTGTTCTTCATCAGGGTGGTTGGCGCTGGCCTCTGGGAGGCTGTTCTGATGCAGCGCTACTAACTGGGTGTAGGATAGAGAGTGGGGTGTGAGTACTGAGTGTGGCGACATACTGGAACAAACTCTGTTACGATAATTGTATGAGTTGCTCATCATCAGTGACCTTTCCAATAGTGATCTTCGCAGGTTTTTTCTTGTGATTGGTTGTTGGGAGTTGTGTCAGAGAGTGAGAAACACTGCGTGTCCTCTCCCCACCTGTGCATGTCTATCTTCCGGTGCTTATTTTCACCTGTGTGCAGTGTGGACTCTGTCTCCTCTCTCCCCTTCTCTTATGCATGTATGGGCATGTGTGAGATTGTCTGTGTGTGAGT